CGAGTTACTGAGACGCGACTGATACATTTTAATATACTGTACGTCTGCACCATACTGCCATGCATATATGAATAACGGTATTAATATATTAATACGTTATAAGTATATGAAACAATTTATACAATAAACGACACGACATGTCGCTGAATAATAGACGGCGTATCGCGCATGTGTGCGGTGATGACAAAGTGTAATAAAAATTTAAATATATATAGAGCAGCACGCGTATTATTAAACCCTTTTTTGTACCCGCTTTTTTTCCACTCTAAAGAGAGGCGCGAACGTATACGGAAAAGAAAAGACAAAAAAAAAAAAACGTGGTTAACATCCCCGTCGCCGTCGTCGCGCTCGGAGGGTTTGGTGTGAGAAATTTTTTCCTCGAAAAATAAGGTATGCGACATATTATAATATATTATACGATGTACACGTGTGCGAGAGACGCGTATCTGTGCAGCAGTATGTATAATATTATTATAAATTATATGTATAATATAGACACACACAGTTTATATGTTATATACACGCATAACACACACACACATACACACACCACACCGCACTCATATATTATATTATTATACATAATATGTATTCCTAATAGCCAATAGGACGTATATGGCCGCCGCCGTACCCTTCAACGTGCAACACGTGCTCGTTTTTCGAAAACGATATCGTGCGGCACATTAGGGGTCGTCGTCGGCGGTTATACTCACTTTATTTTTTTTTTTTTTTCCCGGGGTGGTTTTGAGTTTTGACGGCCGAAAAAATATATTTTAATGTATACACGAGTAGGAAATATAATAACCGTCGCCGCCGTTAAACGCGTATACCTATATATATATATATATATATATATCACTATACTTACTGTAATATATTATTATATACATATAATATTTGGGTTTTATTTTTCCGGCGGCACCGGCTGCTGTCCCACGTCACTCGTCGGGTCGCCATGCATTACAACACCATATTATTATGAATGCCTAATATAATATACACTGCGCATATGTGTGTAGTGTGTGTGTGTGATGTGTCGACTCGTTAATAATTGAATTTACGAGTGTCGTCTCGTCGACCGCATTGGCACTTGGCAGACCATATACTCGACGTGGTGTTGGGGTATACTTATATGTATACGGTACATGGCGCACGCATAACCTCGGTAAACAAATCGAAAACACATTATTGCAATGCCCATAATATACACGAATTCGATGTGCACTGTGCACGCCGTGACACCGATATTATTATTATTATCATTATAATTGTTATTATTCACTATCGTCATTGCGACATTACCGTGTGTCGTGTTTTCACAGTGCACGCGAGCGCGATGTCCACACAAACGGGATCTTCCCCTCAGCCACAACCACAATATACTTAAGATACTTATTATATAACTATTATTACGCTATAGCTAGCCGTAGTCTTCCGTGTGGAGCCCATAATTGTACCTCTATGTATTATATCTCGGTCCTTAAATAATTATATTATTATATTATACCAACTCTGCAATTTTATGCTTACATTATGTAAGATCACTAAAGCCACCACCGCCGCCGCCGCCGCCGTTTTCATATAGCCCGTCTACCGAATTTATTCGGGCACATGATCGACACTCGAATGAGAGAACTTTCACCTCATCGGTTTTAAAATATTGTTTGTTTGTTTTCACGCTTCTCGACATCATAATCGCCTCTCGTCTGCATAAGCGTCGATAATCGCGTCGGCTTATATTATACCGCTCCGCCGACTCGACTCCTTTGTCATAAATTATTTTCTCGCCATCACTGTTTTTAGACTCACATAATATAAGTCTATAATATTATACCGTTATCACGCTGGTATGTCGGTATACCGATTTCGAACGACAATTTATGCCCACGCTCACATTTTTGCGTATCGAGTTTTAATTTGACATAATTTCGGCGCCATTATTATCACATCGGCCTCGGGACTGATTAAAATACAAAAATGTGACTTCAGTATACAGCCAGCTATTTATTATATTATTATATACATGATACATGGCACCGGCGGCAGGCTGAGATTCCATGCCACCCCATTATCGATTTAATTCTCATCGAAATCGATAATCGCTCAGTATATGCAGCCTTGAGGCTCAGGCAAGCAATGTAAATACGTCAAAGTCAGTAGTTAAATATCGCAAGTAGGTATGAACATAAAGTGTTGATATCACTGCAAAGTCTAAGCATTTTATGTTTTATTGCACAAAAATCATTTTATTTAGCCCATAATAATAAGTTCCCTTTTTTGTGCATACAGTTACACCATAATATAATTTATGTTTATGAAGTTGAGTTAGGTACATATTATAATAATAAACATTAAGATTTATACAATAATGTTTGGACTCCGATATTCGATAAAGACTTAAATTGGGGCTGATACCGTGAGTAATACTTGCAATATTATATTATAGTCGTGGACATAATCCGTCTGAAAATATTTCACTTGCGTTCATGTTTTATAAAATAATATTATTAGTCATATTGTCGTGCCGTTATGTCGACGCCGATAATGACGATAATGAGTATCCGTTTAAAAGTCTAATAGTGATAATTATTATTTCTAAATTATACACGCGATTGGCAAAAACGTCTGTATATATGTACAACGCAAAACAATTATCGCGATACGCTGATCGACTTTTGCCTTCGTCTACGTTTTTTTTTCTTCTCGCTTATAAGCTATAACCTTGTGAAAATTGGTTTTTTTTCGCTCCACCGAGTAATTAATTATTTTTATCTATTTAATCGGTTTCTCAATTCACGCGCCGGGAAAACAAACCTATTATTCCGACGACGTGCACGCATTTAATACACAGGGCGTGTATTATTATTATCGATCGTTTTAACTCGACGATGCGTAGAAAACGAAAACGAGCCAATTTGTCGGCCGGCCGCGGTGACTCCGAACCACTCTACATACGTCGGACATGGGTTGGTAGTTTTATAGTTTAATAGGTACCCACACGCCACCCATCGCCAACAAAAACGCACCGTGCCGACGATCTCTTGTTCCGATAAAGACGTGTATGCCGTACGTAGACGTAGGGTAATAATAACAAAAATGATAATAAATAACAAAATATTGGATTTATCGACACCTAACTGATTCATTCACGAAAACCGTAAAAAAAAAAACGAAATTCTCATCGTACAACAACAACAATAATAATAAAAATAATTGTTGTTGAATTAATAATAATTACGAGTTGTGTAACGGCGTAATAGTAGTAGCGGGAAAAAAATCGAGAGTATCAGCAGCTATATAGAATATATTATTAAAATATTATAATCGTTATAATAATAATTACTGTTACACGATAACGAACAATCCAAGTATTATGTTATTGTTAGGTATAATAATAACATTACTTATTATGCTTTTCTGAAAAATCATTGTCGTCGACGGCGACGACGCACCATAAAAACAATTACCGCGGTGTATTGTTACCATCCAGTATGATATTATTATTGTTCTAATGTAATATCAAGTACAGCGAGTGTGCCCACTACAATAACGTTAAGTACAATTGTTGTCGTTGACGCCATATAATATTCTACACAATATCGTAACGCGCCTATGTAATAATTGTTATGTACAGCAGGTAGGTGTTAAAATAATAACAATTACACCATGCCAACCAACACCGCACGTGTACGATTAATGAAATTATTCTTAAGGGTTTGGCTCGGTAAATTCTTAACGGCGATCGATGAACTCGGTGCAGTTTTAACCGGGAGCATATTATGCTGGACGTCCTCCCCCATGTGGCCTAGAAAAAATCTTGTAATTTATCGGGACCCTTTGATGGGGCCTTCGATAATGCATGAGTAATCGACCAAAAACTGTACGATCCAAGTTTGTAGAGATTATTGTATGTGTGTACTAAAAATGACGAATTTCGATAAATATACACGTCTATGGTTTTGCATCGATCCGTCAATACTTAATTATCAAGATAATAAAATTATTTCAAAGTAAAATTTATCGTTGAAATAATTTAACTACGAACAAAATCCAATCATTGTCAACGATTAAAAATGTTTTGCTTAACTTTATTAATTGTACTCTTTTTGTAAGATATGTTTTCAGCTTATCATTATAATATCGTTTTAGTGTTCCATTTAGGTGTTGAAAAATGTATTGAATCGTGACGATGTGCCTACTTAATGTCAATCCATTGAAATTAAACGAGTTATTAATGCACGGTCGTCTAGGAAATTGGGTGTCCAATTTGATTTATATGTTATTTATATAAAGTGTTACCTCCCGCGAATATGAGATGATGATCAACCAACACCACTCGATACATCATTATTTACTAAACCTTATACCTATAGTATTATTATTAAATAAAATGATTAAAAACGCGATACCGATAATGACGATAATATTAATATAATATAATAAATAAACGATTAATTAATCGTTTATTAACACAATAATTACTGTTTAAGTATTAAGTCGCGCAGGTAACGCGCATAGCTAATAATATTATTTTTTATTATTATTATTACTATTATTTACCGCCGAACGCGCGCGGTAGGTCTTGGACAAAAAGGAGTGGCGGCGGCGGCGGCGGTAGTCGTGCGGTCGGCCAGAAGGAATGGTAGTGGCGGCGGCAGTGGTGTCCGTCGCACGTGCACACGTACCTGTACGTCCCTATTCCGCGCGCGCGAGTGTACGTGTGCGTGTGTGTGTGTGTGTGTGTGTGTGTACCAGCTCGCGCGCAAACGCGTGTAAACTCGCGTGTGCGTGTGCGTGAGTACATTACAATATACACGCGCGCGCGCACACGCACACACACTCGCGCGCGCCCGCCGCGTAATAATATAATACGGTTGAAAAATGCCTATGGCCTGGCAGCTGGCCGGCTGCATCGTCATCCGTGTCCGCCGCCGCCGCCGCGTGTGTGGGAACGTCGCGCTGTCCCGAGTTCCCACGGGCCGCGCGCCTATATAACGCCCCACCCGGTGCCCGGCACACCGCATTCCGACACCGTCCGCCGGCACGCACACGTCTCTCGCGCTCAGTCGCTGCGTACAGGTCTATTGCTACTGCTGCTCCTGCTCCTGCTCTCGTCGTCACCGATAATAATAATAATTTTTTATTATCACAGTGATTATTATTTTTATTTTAATCGTTTCACCGACGCGTTCGTGTTACGATCAGTGCGATTTCGTTTTGAATCTACGACAGTGGTTCATTACAATTATTTTACACAATACCTACTCTACGTCCGAATTCGTCAACAATCGTCGTCATGTCTTCTGTCGCCACTGAAATGCAACAACCCGTCTCCAGGACTTACCAATACAGAAAGGTAATTACGATTTTCCTATATTATACCGTTGCTCTTGTTATTATAGTACTCGGCCGCAATGCCCAGTTTTTGTTTTTTTTTTTATTTTACTCATTTCTCCTCGCCGTCGGAGATTTAAACGATTTAAATTCGGAACGAGTCAATTTTTTTTTTTTTACCATAACGTATTTTTTTATAAAAAAAAAAAATATATAAACGCTTCAATTAATAAACAATTATTAGAAGTAAAAACTATCGTTAAGTGTGTTCGGTCTTATTTTATTTTTCAATTGTAAAAAAAAAATTCAAATAAAAATCAGAGTAATCGTCATGTTAGATTTGTAATAATAGAAAAAAATTCCTCGAAAATCAATTTTATTACAATAGAATATAGGGTCTAGAAAAAATAATAAAAAGTAAAATAATTTAAATTATTCGAAATAACCGTCGTTAACGAGAAACCGTGTAGTGTCGATCGCGGCGGCGCACGTGTATAGGCAACAAAACGCGCGGTTGGGCACTCCGTTAAGCTGACGGCCGACGCCCTCAAAAACTGTTATTAATATTATATAATATATTAACACTTTTAACTTGAACATTTTAACTAACGGCAATTTTTTATTTTTTTTAATCAGGTCATGAAACCAATGTTGGAACGCAAACGCCGTGCCCGCATCAACCGGTGCCTGGATGAACTCAAAGAACTCATGGTGGTCGCCCTGCAATCTGAAGGCGAGAACGTCAGCAAACTGGAAAAGGCTGACATACTCGAGCTGACTGTCCGACACCTCCACAAGCTGCGCCGGCAACAACGGCTTTCCGGCAACCCGGTGACCGAGATGGACCGATTCCGCGCAGGTTACACGCGCTGCGCGTCCGAAGTGTCCAGATGCCTGGCCGCTACGCCCGGCCTGGACGTCACTTTGGGCGCCAACCTCATGACCCACCTGGGCCACAGGCTCAACTCGATCCAACCGACCGGGCCGGCAACAACCACAGCCTCGTCACCGGCCACTCCACTGACGCTCAACACCGACACATCCTCGTCCTCGTCGTCGGCGTCCTGCTCGTCTTCATCCTCGGCGTCGTCGTCCTGTTCGTCACCACCACCGCCCCAGTCGCCTACCGGCAGCACCACCTCGTCGTATCCGATGCCACTGACGCCCAACTCGATGGACGGCACTTCCACCGGACTCCTCCAAGTCGTCGACATGTCCCTGAAAAACGACAACGCCTCCGTGTGGAGACCTTGGTAAAACTTCCAACCGCCGTGTAACCCACACACCCACACAAACTCACACGCGCGCGCGATTTACCAATTATTTTATACATTACGATATTATTATTTGTCTCGATTTGAATTTTTTTTTTCTTGTTATTGCCTACACTTTATGTTGTATCGTTTTTCTTGTTATGTTATACATTCTCTGGAAAAATCAACCAAACGCCTGTATAACGGGACGCGGACGCAAACGGGTTTTATCGAACTTTTTACGCTTAAATGAACGAAAAGATTTTGACATACATATGATATATTATTATTAATATTATTGTATGCGTATAGTTTTTGATAAATTATTATAAGGCATTTTTTTATTCGCACGCGTTCATATATATATATATAATTACTATATTTAAATATATTTATAAACATGTTTAATTTTTTTTTTTAATTTTTTAAAAATATGACCCTGTGATATACCATCGTTTAGATATAGACTATAATATATTATTATATTATGACGACTATGTAAAAAAAAAACAAAAAATGGTATAAATTTAATTTGTTCTCGTATATATATAATTTATAATATTGTAGTCGGTAGTCGTCCTACCTCATCATTCATTATATGTGTATTATAGTATATCGTATGATATTATTTATTATTTTTATTTGTGACATAATACTGTGTACACTGTACACGCATTCATAATATTATAGCCTGCGTGTATGGTTATTTTTTTTATATAGACTGTGATATAATGATATAATATGTTTTAGTAAATACTATGATTATTTACCCATAACACCTGTTTGTTTTCATTTGAGAAACGTCGTGCCCATTCCTATTCCAAATACTCGGGTATAAAATATAATAAATAAATACGTATAATGATTTAAGTAACAAGGTAATAGTTGATCGAGTCGAATAAGTATACTTAAATTGTTATATATATATATATATGTAGACTCTGCACTCGCGGTGATGGTACCATACTATTATGCACAATGGACGCGAAAACAAGTGGTTCTGTTCTGGATTATACTAAGTGGGTAAATAGGTTCTTACCACTTCCACATTTTTTGCGTATGTAGACTTGCAAAATAAAGTGTTACCACAACTCGCCTGCAGTGTGAATGACGGGTAAAATAGTTGGCTAAATCGACCAAATCAATTTATTACAATAATAATGTTTAAGTTTTTTTCTCGTCGTCCGCACTGGGTATAGATTAGGAATAATATTCCATTCAAATTTATACTATAGACATAGAACAGTATTGATCTGCGATACGATCGGGATGTACTGACTGCTGGCGGCAACGACTAAATCGATTCAGAATAATTTTAATCCGTTTATACGATTCCACCGTCGTCGTTGTTATGATGTGTATATTATTTGATTATAAAACTTATCGTGTGTAGTACCTATGAGCACATAAATATTAAATCTAAATAACTTGCGAATTACAATAATTTTTAATAATGGTTATATGATATTATTGTTGCTGACGTAGTGCGTGCTCGTTATTCAGACTTTGCGTACCTACCTAAAGTTATTTAAAATTAAACCTAAGAATAATTAAAATATAACATATACGATAACTTATCATAATAACTGTCAATAACCCGATAGCGAAATTGCAGTTTGCAATTTATTCAAAACGTGTAAACCAAAAACAAACGACTGAATCGAGTTTCGGTTTGCTTTGAACAGATTTGGAAAACGACGATATTATTATTGTTTTTACGAGTCGATTCATTAATTTTATTAATGCAAAAAGTCATGCGATAAACGCGTTATATCTATAATAATTTATCTACAGCCGAGAAGGCATTTCAGAGACGGCGAAAATATTAGTGCTTACGATTTTTGTTGAGCATATATTATATGGATAATAATTATTGTAAATAAAACAAAAAAATTGAAAAATAACGAGGAAAAATTCTTACTCGTACCTACTCGTTAAATTTGTACCCGCATTTTATACAAATAAATAATAATATTATTAATATTATAATTTGATATTTTAACTGCAAGTATAATATTTTTAAACAAAACGCGAAAGATATTTTGTTTTTCAGAAAGTGTGTTGCGCATAAATAAAATCCTGCGTTGGTGTAGTATAGTACACATAAGTTCACACATATTAAACTGACACATTTAATATTTATAGGATAGCTGTTTCATGTCTGCTGTTGCAAATTTTTGCAATCCATTGCCATTGCTTGCGGGTGCAATCGACGGCCATTTTACGGTCGATATAATATGTGAAAACGCAATATATTATATTATATTATTAAATCCGCGCAGATCGCTGAAAAGTAATCACAGTAAAAAATGCTTACAAACGTCAAAAAAATATTGCATTTAAACAAATAAATTTAAAAAACGGTGGATGCGATATGATATGCTCCGTGTATTCAAGTAGGTACGAATCGACAAAATCTTTTAAAGGTACCTAAACAGTAATTCTCTCTAAAAGTATTAAAGTTTTGGAAATATCTTTTTAAAAATGTTTACTTCATTTGAAGTCATTATTTTTTTTAATAACGGGAAACATGTTTAATTTCCTATATACATATTATTTCTCTGAGAATTTCGATAGGTACTTACATATAAAATACATAATTTCGAACGAGGAGTTTAATTAGTTATAAGTTATTATAACTCACTATAAGAAGTATTTAAAGTGTTTAAATGAGTGGAGTGGAGTTATGCAACGGACCTCGCAAAATATGTGTATATGATACTCCACTCATCTAACTTAAAATACGTAAAACTTATAAGTTAGGTATCTACATACGATTAATTACCTCTACTCGATCAAAAGTCGATTTTCTCTACATTCAAGAAAATGTTCTACTTAGGAATGTGAAATTAAAAATGTATGTTGTTGATCAAAAAAAGCAAACAATTACAAACCATGAAAAATAATATAGTATATATTTTTTGCAACAATTTTGTTTTATCATGACTTCAAACTAGGTATGTGAAAAATCCAAAAAAAAAAAAACCTATACACCACCGCAAATCAAAACCTATTTACAGTATATCTATGTAAGCGTGTTATTAAACTCATAAACATAGATTATCATGCATTACCTAGGTATATATGGATTGGTATATCGGTACCTATATACATAATAATATGTGACCGCCTATAATTATTTAATTAATGACAATAAACTGAAAATCAAAATCGAAGATACCCCCGACCGAAACGCCGATGAGATTTTCCGACATCACAATTACAATTATAATATAATCGTTTTATTGTTTCACTTCCCTCAATCCGCGCATATTATGTTATATACGTGTAGAACAGCATAATATAGTATAATAGTATTAAGTATTTAATAGATTATTATATTAAATATACATACATATATGTACTGTATTATGTACAGAGTGTTGTTTTATTATTGACGTAAAAATGTGTTCCTGTTAGAAAACCGATAGTAATGTTTACTTACATAGTGACATATACTACAACATAATCGCGGGTATTAATAATTATTAATCTACGACGGTTGTGCGCGCTCGCAGACACTAAATATTATTATGTTCTTCGTAGACATCAAACGAGTGGGTACGTATATATATACATAAACATATAGGTAGTGTACCTATAGTACATATATACATATATATACATACATATAGGTAGTGTACCTGTATTATATATATATACCTTGCACAAATATTGAAATACTCGTTGTGTACTCTTGTACCAATGTATATATATATGTGTACGTATATTTTACACTTTACGTAGGTAGGCGTTATATAAATCTACACCTGCAGCACATTTTAACACTACGTGTGGACATTCAAAATTATCTTTAAACCTAAGTAAATTCGATTAATAACAGGAGACCGTCTAATATATTATAATGTCGTTTACCCGTACATAATATATACTATGTAAATGAGTCCAATCTTAATTGTCGTTTGTTGTCCTACGTATACGCGTACATATGACGTGCTTAACGTGTTTTATCGACATATATTTTATTATCCATCCACCTATGTTTAAATCGAGTTACAACACACCACGTGCATGCACCCATACGTACTTTTGTCGAGATTCGATTGGCCAAAACGTGGATCTAATACTTTAATAAAACAACGTTAAAACCAATCGACGTATTTTTCGACGAATCAAAAATAACCGATAAACCCGAACTTCAAGAAAATAATTAGTTTGGCAAACTACTTATGAAAAATAAATACCTGCGGTATTTAGGCGCGCCACACGTCAACCCAATAATCAATATTTATAACTATTTCTTAGTATATATTATATACATACATAACTATAATGCAATAACACAATTTGAAGTATATGAACATTTTTTTTTTTTTTTGTACATAAGTAGGTAGTATATAATATTATGTAGGTACCTGCTGCTGATCCAACACGTTTTATCAATAATATACTACCTATATATTATATTATATAATTCAAATTATATTGATATTTCAAAACCTGATAAACACATTAATATGTAGGTATCGTTAATGTATATAGTTACCTATAATGTCCTAATCCATACTAAGTATACAATCCGGAAAGCCTTGTCGCAAAGCACCGTATAAATTGAGTATTTTATATACGGGCGTTTGAATTTCTTATAATACACATATTATAATATTATGAAATTAAATATAACGGTGCAACCCACTTGCGCCCAAACCCATTTGCGCCCCAAATCATTTAAAACAAGTGAAAATCGTGCAACGTTGCCATTTATTGGGTAACTATAAAATCTGAAATAATATTTTATCGTTGATCGATTTTATGATAAATTTATCATTTGTAACTTTTGTGTCAGTTGCATCAGCACTTGAGTCGTGATTAGTGAGTCCCAAAATACTACTAAGTAATAATGGATTTCAGCTTAACTATTTCAAGTAACAAAAAACCTTGATCAGTTTTTCATGATTTTAAAAATGATTTATACATAGTAAGAATTTTTAAAATTTTGGAAATGATTAACTTCGAATGTATCTATTTAACGATACCTAACCGACGGCCACGTTGCATCCCGAACGGTCGCACCTGGACTATAAATAATACTGAGTCCCGGATTGTTTTAAGGTATATATGCTGATTGAGTCAAATCAAACTTTAAAAAAAACATCTTCCTTCCCATTTGTACACACTTTTTAGGACTGCCTGTAACAACAATTCTACAAGTATGGTTTTTTATGTTTTTTTTAGTTTGGTCGCAGTGTCCATAACCCTCGGAGAGCAATTGCGGGCTACTCTGGGGCGCAAGGATCACACTAAAATATAAAATGGTGCGATTAATCATCATTATTTGCTGCAAAAGGTGAATTATCTGCGCCCATGCCATATCATATTAAGTCTTATAACGGCATTAACAACAGTGTAATTTTTTCCTTCGGATATTATATAGCCAACGGCGTTGATATTGCGCAGGAAACCACACTTCGCTATTTACCACAATTCTAGTGTAGACAGTGCCTATGAGGTTTGTGATTAAGAAAAAATAAGTTACATTTGTACATTACGATATTTTTAAAAGCATATGGTATAAAAAATTATGATAAAATACATTGAGAATATACGGTATTTGACCAGCCATGGAAATAAACATTTATTAAATTTGTATATTTATTTGTATTATTATTAACCTTTTCAATGCATACCTAACTTAACCTAACCTGGCTAGGTATGTAAACGATGAATTTAACACATCGTCATTAAAATTCATATCATGTAAGACCACCATGCTGCCAAGGTTCACTTTTAATTTTTATTCATATTTGGGTTATTATCAAAGTGTGCTACGAACATACATACGTTTTTTTAGTGTAGGTCCATACAAAATGTACAAACCGGGTGATTCATTACAATTATGATACATTCATTTCAAGACACTCATTGTTTAAAAACTTCTTTTGAAGCTAATGATTTAAAAAAATATTATATTGCATTATTTTAAGTAGTTAAAACAACATTTATCTAGAGAATATATTTTAATTATTTTGTATCGTTATCATTTTCAATTGTTGTACGATAATATTCGATTTTAATTCCTTATTCCAGAGCAGAATATTTTTTTGGGAATACTTAGATAAATAAAATTTGAATTTTGGACTAGTTAGTTTATGAGTTAAGTATAAGACTTATTTAATGTTTTGACGAGCGGCGAGTGGATCGGTTACTTATATTCAAAATACTTCGTCGTTGGTTTCAAAATGAAAAAAACTTTAAATACTTATGAATCAATTACTTGTCTAGTATTAACAGATTGCAGATTGAAATACTCCAAATCATATTTTGCTTAGGAATATGAAATAAAAATGAATGTTTTCATTAAAAAGAGTAAACAACTTAAAAATGATAACGATAAAAAATGTTGTTTAATTATCTACTACTAATTAACCACTATATTTGTTTACTATGTAACTATAAAGTAAAAATCACTAAAATAACAAATATAATAACTTAATGCAAACTGTAAACATAAATCACGGCAACCTTCAGTGAGTATAAAATAATAAATATGTTTGATGACAAGTTGCAAAATAAAAAACTAAAATATAATAAACAAAATAATAATAACAAACCGGACGTATATAATTAATGTACAATCGAGGTAATACGCGGTCGCGATAACACAGACGTGACGAGACGTGTAATATAGTTGATGGACGACAATTAACGGAGTCATCGATAAGCTTAAGACGTCTAAAAAGATAAAAGGGAATCACAATCATCTTAAAGGAATTACAAACGTGATGCCTAAAATTCGTAATTGTTGTATTTTTGTTGGGGGGGGGGGGGGGGGGGATATAAGGAACGTGGGTCAGTCAGGGGGGGGGAATAGTTTTTACAGCCCACTCCATAATATTTCGACACAAAGTTTGAAATAAATATACAACATAAATGGTACAAAAACAACGCAATATAAAACGTTAAAAAAATGTACCTAATTTTATTTAAAAGTTCTCGGCCTCATCCCACTGGATGTCACCGCTATCAACTATACTCCGACCAAATAGCACCAGAAAATTCCATGCATCTATTTTATTTATAAGGTACCTAATATGCCATTGGAGTTGTATGATGGTATTAGGTTGGAGGTGATGATAAACTGTGGCCCAAGGAATGAGTACGATTAAAGCTGTAACATGAGCTCCATTTATACATATTGGGACTATATTTATACATGTAACGGTCTTATCTCATACTTTTTTAATAAATAAATAACCAAACTAGCCGTCGACTGGCACTACTAGGACGCCTCGACGATTCGGCTGACGTGTACTGTCGTCGTCAGTCCAACGGTGAACCTAACGGTTGCGAACCCATCGAGCTCCGGTTGTCCGAGTTCACACGTGAGTCTTCGACGGGCTTACCACCTGTTAGACAGACAGCACAACTTTGGACTTGGTCACGTACGTGCAAGCAGTACGACAATTGCGAAGTGGACGGATAGTCACGAGACGGTGTAATAGACTTGTCACGTCGATTTGTTGTTGGGTGGGCGCGTCATCGTCTCCTAATTTAGTGTTGAGATTCTGAAAATGTTTGATACTTTAATACTGGGTAAAATATTAGGACAAATAACTGTCAAATTATTTATAAATTATAAGCTACCTACACTTCCACTGCTGACTATCAATTTTTTTTTTCTGTCATTCCGGTATCAACCTACAGTCGTCACGATTCCCGTCGGTCCGTTGGGTCTATACCAACCACCTCGGCGATAAGACGTGGATCGACAAAGATTCGAATATTTTCTGGATATATTTTGTTTGTCACGTTAATAGCTCGTTCGTCCAATTCCGATTGGTTTTTGTCTTGACCGCGTACGTTCCTAAATGACGAAATTAAGACTATTTAAATGTATTTGTTTTACAAGTACATAGAAATTAAAACTTAAAAATGACCATTTTGTACGTACTTATCGATACCAAATTGAGCCATAGGTCTCAAGCTGCCGTCCAACCGACTGTGCTCGTACCACCGAAATTCGTTGTCCTCTGGTGATATTTGCTCTGACATTAACCCACGACATTTTTGTTCCATCGGACTCCTACAAGTAACGATAAATGATATTATAGGAACATGTTGTGATGATGTGATGATAAATGTTGTATATTTTGTATTTTGTTTACAGATCGGATTCGCTGGTATTCCATTTCGGTGTTTTCCACGGTTTACCATCGCTATATTAAATAAGATGCCAACACACATCGCAAAATATAAAAAAACGATATTAAAAAACGGATTCAGGACGGGAGTATAATATTTATTTATTTATATTTAATATTTATCGTGGGAAAACATACTCTGGTAAGAAAACTGGTAAATCCCAGTCCTTTATGATGTTTTTCTTCACAGTTTTAGTGGAATTGGTCACTCGGGCCCACAATGGGCAGTCGGTCGTTAGCGCCTTTTCCCATCGGGACGCCGAACGACTGTGCACCGGAAACCGGAAGCTGTTGGGCAGACGCCACGTGTCCACCGTGTGATCGGACCTGGCGTAGAATGCTTGCACGCTGCGGTCGTCGGCGAACGCTGTGGCGACACTGGTCATGTCCGGCGACACGGCGGCAGTGTTCGTGCAGGTGGTCCGATGGCGGCAGCGATGAGGGCGGGAAACTTCGTCGTCGGTGTCCGAGTCGGAATCGAAGTTCTTCAACATGTCTTCGACCAATTCTCTGAGCTGTAAGATCGATTTTGAGTGAAGAATTATCATAATAATAATATTGGTAATAACCATTGACCCGGGTTCAAAACTGTTTTTTTTAAACCTAGGGCTTTTCACTTTTCAATACCGTAACCACAACCATAACCAAAAACATTTAAAGTTAAGCTGATATTAGATATTTTGAAAAATTTAAAGTTTATAGTTATCCTATTTTTTTAAACTCAATCAAATTTAAGTTATTTGGAAACTTACAACTAACTTAAGTTTTTTTTTTAATACTTGCCAGTAATATGGTTTAAAATAATAAAAAGTAAATGTTCATAGAATATGCATTGTCAATAATAATAATTGTATTAAATTTATTTTTAATTATTTATAAATTAATGTTTGTGTCCAGGCTTCAATTATAGGTACGTATAGTGGCGTACATTCAAATTTACTCTGAGGCGTTTTTACAAAAAAATAACCAACACCTTCCTCTTTAAAACTTCCCATTTTTCTAACAATCAAACACATTACACGTATAAATATTAATAGACAAAATAACAAAACAAATACAAAGGTTTACATAACTCATGGCAGTAAAATACTATTTAATATGCACATAGCATATACGAGTATAGAATATTATATATATTATATTATTAATTTTTTTAATAATTTTTCAGCCATGATTACTGTTTATTTTACCTTCAAAACCTAAAATATATCGAATGATAATGATAATAAAACATTATTACCTATATATTATGCTATAATATTATTGTTATAAAATATAATATTTCGGGAAAAAATAAATACCAACACTAAAATCTAAAACTTCTGTACTTAAAAATACAATTTATTATAGTATATTTGTTTGCATATTAACTTAACTGAGTTTAAAAAAATCATTAACTTACCCAGTATTGTGTATTTATAATACATTTTAATAGTTTAAATGTTTAATGTTTTGTTACTAAACAATTTTAATGTTATAAACTCTAACTAATCTTATCTAAATACTTACCTATGGTTAATGGAGTTAAATTCATGTCAACGATTTAAACTTCTCCAACGGCAGAATAGAACAGAAACAAAATGAACGAAAACTTCATAATATTATATAGCAAAAATGTTTAACATGATCATTTACGTTAGTGCTATAAAAATAGAATCCATTTCACAGTATTATTGTCGTTCACGCGAAATTCAACGATTATAATTTATAACGCAATCGGTTTTTTCTCCGTTGTCCGATCGAGTCGGTCGAGATAACGACAATATTAATATGTATTTATGTCCGCACGCAACTAACTGACTGTGTACGATCAAAATTTGATGACATTTAATGTCTATTCTGATTAATTTACGGCACCCACAATTTCGTTATGAAATCTTTTTCCGTTGTTGGTAAAGTATAGTGTATACTCAATAGTCATTATTTTGACGTAAGTTTGTGTATACACGGATGATTAATACTAAGAAATACTTCAATAATATCAATTTTTTAATTTTTTTTATTCCTGGGGGGGGGGGGTTGAACCCGTACCCTCCCCCCGTATGTACGCCACTGGGTACGTAGGTACTATTGTATTGTATTATATATTACTGTAGTATATTGGTACTCACGTAATTCGGTGTGTTTACCAGGTACGGCAGGTTTTTCGGGGCCGAATGTCTAAACAATTTCATATTACCTCGGGGGTGCTGAAGTGACACCAACATCAGTTTGATTATCCCGCATTTTAACGACTTGTCATGTTCCTCGTCGCATTTGTGCAACCAAGTTGAAATCGCTCGTTGGTCTGCGTCAAACAATATAGTATGTCGTCACACAAAAACAAAATAATAGCTTAATAATACTATCACCGATCGGTGAAAGTATAAATTGTATTGTGTCTGCTGTACCCGAGACGTCAGTCAATTGAAATATGTTGTTTTTGACCAAAGTTCGGAAAAACTGATAATCGTTTTCCAAATCGTCCGACTCATGGGACTTCTGAAGTCTCGGGTCTACGGCGATACTGGGCTGTCGTGCCTCGCTCCGAATCTTTTCGGGTGATTCATTGAGCTGTTCAGTCATGATGATATTCAAACATTGATTTGATATATGAGTTCCCTTGTATAGTAACTTTTAAACAAATAGCAATTTTGAACTGTAAGTATTTAATTTAATCTGTAAACGATGTCGTTATTTACCATGAAGTGTTTGGCTTGTTGTGGGGAAACGAGTCTTATACGTGTGAATACGTGTCACAATATTAATTTTGTCTTGAGCCTGCAGCAATATATAACATTAAAAAATAATAGTATAAAGTTTTAAACGAACGAATTTCGATATAAAGCTTACATTAAATATTTTATACATAATTATAATTTTGAATGAGAATACAAATATACGAACTTGAATATAAAACTACTTAATTTCCTATGCTGTAATGTGGGTTTGAACCTCTTACCCGCCCCATGTTACGGCCATGCTACACCAGTCACATCAGTATATTCACAAATACTTCATGTCAACTAAATTAATTTACATATGAAAAGTTTTTTCGTCATTTTTGTATCAAACTCAAAATATACAAGACCAGAACTTATAAGTTATAACATTATTGGATTTGAAATGATTAATAATGCTTATAATCTAGGCAACATTTAAAATATTTTATCTCATGCCGGGACTATATAGAGAGACTGATCATGTCTGGTCCGATGACTTACCGACAGGTTTCTCGATAAACGATAGATTTTCAACCGTAACTTAGAATTTGTTATAGTCGTGTGTAACTTAGTATGTAATATGTGAAAATGTAGTAATATTAAAATATTTGGGCGATACCTCAGAGTTAAGAGTTAACCATAATAAAATATTTTATAAAAACAGTTTAAGCAAAAATTGGTGCAAAATGAGGGAAAACAAACTGATAGTTTTCCATACTATTCAACTATTCAGTATACTTTCATAATAATAATTATAACTTAGATCTACGCCCTCGCTTGATTCGCAGATTTAATTTAATTAACCCTGATTTAATTTCAGGTTCTGTATAAGAACTGTTGAAAAATGTCTGATTCTAAATTCTAATACTGTAAGCAATAAGTTTGTCAAGAAAACTTTAAATAAAAAGAAAAGACAATTCACTTCAGGTGTTGAGTATATATTATATACAATCTATATACCACTTACCACTCACTCATTTATCGCTACATCTCAAAAACTGCAAGGCATAAGTACCTGAAATTTGGAATAGTAGTTCCTCTAATGCTCAAGTTGTGCAACTATATCTTAAAAGTTAAAACAAATACCTATAGGTATGTGTGTAGCTTATATATTCAATTGAATTAGACGAAAATCTTGGAGATTGTTTTAAGAGATGTCAAAAAAGTTTAGAGAGTGTTTAAGCCATGTAAAAAAAATATTCAAAGTGCTAAATCCAATCCCCAACTTTCAGTTGCCAACTTCGGTAAAATTATTTTACAAACCTAGCCACTGACGCCGATTTGTCCATGAACTGAGGTACACTCAAACATAGATACACCTATGTCCTACAAAGCATATATTATACTATGTATGATTTGCTTAAGAAAATGCGCACGGGTGAAGTCAGAATATTCAGCAGTATAAATATCATAGTATTATCGTAATACACATAAGTAAGACGGCGCTTTGTGTAGGCAATATAGGGGCACAAATATATTTTATTTTATACAATATTATTTTTGTGTCAACATACATTTTTTGATTGAATAATAGTAGACCAACATAAAATAACCATTTTTAATTGTATAACAGTATAAACGATAAGTCAATAACCGATATTTTATGCAGGAACAATTAGGTATTGCCAAATCTAGTTAATAATATGCAAAATAACAATTAGGTATTTCCGTAGTTGCCCTGTTCTGACTAGTTCTATGATTAGGTCAATGACCAATAAAAAATAATATTAACCTTTAAAATAAATTCTCTTAACATAATACGAAAACTGCGTAAATATGGTATGAATACCAATAAAATTGCCAAAATTTGTCAAATATGCGTTTTGCTTCGAAAGTGACGAAATATGCGAAAATATGCAATTAAAATGTTTATATGTCAATCCGTTTTGACTTTTTATTGACACTTTTTACACAACAAATAATTTATATCTTACTTAGACTATTCTGCAGTCATTATTAAACAATATGCAAATGCAACAAGTCCCGAACCCTAATAATTATATATATAAATAAAATAACTATAACTGTATGTATTCAAAATGTATATATGTGTCCACAACTTTATAGTGTTTAGTCGTTATGGTTGACATAATCAAAAAATAAATAAATAACTAATGAGTACTCACTCTAATATTTTAGATTCTTATTTCTGCGCACAGCGATTGAATATACTTGGAAGGGAGCAATCGGGAAAACAAAAATTAAATTAGGAAAAAAATGGAAATTATTATTGTGTAAAACCAGTTTTTGACAAAATGGATTTTCTTATGTTATCATCATTTAAAATATTTTGTCTATTTTCGAGTAATTAAAAAATATTCCAAATTGAACTCTTTTTTTTGTTTCATTTCTATGAATATCGGTAAGAAAATTGTTTGGCAAACAGCATGAACATTTAATATAAGATTCATCATCAACATTCATTATTATAGCAAATTAAAAAATATTTAATATACATAAGCAGGATTTTTTTATGAGCATTTGAAATTCAAATTTTGTCAACATCACGAAGATTTGCAAATTGTTAGTCAATTAAAAGATTTTTATTTGACTGTCGCAAAGAGTGAAGAGGATGCCACTGTTTTTTTAATGGAGCCCAGTTTATTAGATACTGTCGAAGAAACATTGCCATGTCAAAAGTGTGGTTCAGAAATGGTTAATGCTAGAAAACGAGATCGAGGAGGTGACCTTCGTCCTGTCGTTCGTTGCAAAAAAAAGGATATCAGACCACGCGTAGTATACGGCAGGGTAACAAATTTTTTCATTATGAGGACTTGAACAATAAGTCTAAAAGTAATCTCAAATTTATCGAAATTTTAGAATTAGTTTTTTTCGTATCGGATATTTTTTTGACTACAACGGCCACTTTAACAGAAAGAGGGCAAGTGACAGTTACTGACTGGTTTAATATGTGTCGTGAAGTATGTTCAAATGTTGTTCACAAATGGCCAAAGATGGTGGGAACTGAGATTGATCCAATACAGATTGACGAGGCTAGATTTGCCGGAAAGAGAAAATATAATCGAGGTCGGTTACTCAATGGTGATCAACCCCCTTCGTCGGAAGACAGTGACGTTGAAGTCCAGAACGGTAGAAACCATGGACAAAGAATAGATGGACCTTGGGTATTTGGTGTAAAAAAAACATTCTGACTGTCGATATTTTGATGTACTTCGAAGAGACAAAAATGCATTACTTCCGATAATTATACAGCGAGAATGTGAAGCTGGCTCTGTTCTTCACTCTGATGAATGGGTGGCTTATAGGTGTTTAAATGGTAATGGGTATATTCATAAAACGGTCAACGATCAGCAAAACACCGAGGATCCTTCGACGGGGGCTTATACTCTCAGCATAGAGAGATCATGGCTGGATGCAAAGACAAAGATCATAAAAACAATGAGAGGTACCACTAAAAAACTACTTCAATCCCATCTCGACCATTATTGTTCTAAGGTTGCTTGCAAAGACGAACCTTATACATTTATAGAATTTCTGAGAGATTTTAAAACAGTTTATCGCTAAAATTATTATTCATTATTGTTTTGTATTGATTTATTATGTAGACATAATATTATTACATTATATTTTTAAAATTAAAGCTAATAAATATATATTATAATTATGAAAATATAAATTTGGCGTACTACAATATAGGTATTATGCGATCTACGTTAAGGTAGACCGCACAATATGAGAGCAGCGCCAAAAAAATAACGATTTTAGTTATTTTGATGAAAATTAAAAATCTTTTTCTTAAGGATTTGAAACATTTATGTGTACTATTATATTTTATCCATATATATTTACCTACACAATGACATTTTAATGTCAATGCCTCTTTATACAATAAACTTCTTCACACCGTTCTTCGATAAGTTGGTATTGACTCAAAAGTTGTGCTTATATAGCATTAGTTTCCATACCAAATGCAATGTCTTCGTCAATAATTAATTCAACCTACCATAGAAGACACTAATAACAGAAAATAAAACTAAAATATTAATATAGATACTTAATAGTGTAGACTGACAGACGGTCTTCGCTCAGAATGACATTTCTCATGTTATGAATAATCATTAGATTTCAATTTAAAACAGATCTACAGTCATTTTCCTAATGGCGTAGTACACTCTAGTCTCTACGACTCTACATCAGTGGTTCTCGACCTCTTTTGTTTCATGTCACTTTTATAGACACTAGTAGTTAGTACCCAACACATTGTAGCCCTAGCATAAATATATTAAACAAGTTTAACTGTATATATTAGAAGAAATGAGAGCTTTTCATTTTATTTAAAAAATACGGTACACAGAAAAATAGTAATTATAGTAATTATACACTTTATCTGAGTTCAAGGTTCAATAAACTCTTTAAAATGACAAATTAAAAATAATAATTAATGTATATATAAAGTATTATATTTATATGTTTTTATTATAATATTAATTATTATGTTGTTCCGTTCCTACATCGGTGGACATAAAACGATTTTAAAAAAATTCATAATTCTTTTATATTTTTTCCTTTTCTCTCGGATATTGTATGCTGGATTCATGTCACCTTTGGGATTTCCTAACTTCTTTCTATTTTAGAATTTTAGATAAATATTGTATATTTGTATTTTACATATCAATGATAAATCATAGATAGCCAGATTTAATCTATTCTGTGGCCAGATGGCCAGCCTAGCCAGGTACTAGGTACCTATTATATTATGAGTATGTTTTATTAATTATAAGAGCTTAACTAATGTACATTACAATATCAGATCCTAATTTTTATGACTTTTCTTTTAAAACATTTTAATACCACGCGACTCACACAAACCCATCATTTTTGACAATTAACTAGGTAATTAAATGTTAATTTTTCTTAACTTGTTAACATAACTAGTTAATTAGTTATCTCACCGACTTGTGAATTTAACTAATTTAATTGACTGTTTAAATAACTTCAATTTCCTCAGTTGATTTAAAAATAATCCAGAGTTAAAAAAAATTTGAAATTTTTGTTTCTAAGGTTTTATGATTCAATACCTACCATCATAAGACAAACATTTCTATTATTTTTCTTGATGCAATAATTTTGTATATTATTAGGTACAGACATATTTTAGTAGATTAAATAGACATTAGGCATACAATTATATCACATTAATTGCTAGGTATTTGGTATAAAAAATGTATATTTGTTAAATCATTGGTTAACCTGTGTATAGTTTAAGTATGTAATAATTATAAGTCAAGTTAAGTAAAATAGGTATATGCTATATAGGTAACAGGTATATTGTACATTACGATAACAGTTCAATAAAATTGTCTAATATAATTTAGGAAATTAGAGGGAGCGCCCTTTTTTATTGTGATCCATGCTAGGTAATTAAAATTTTTATATTTTTCTTTACTGAGGTAAATTATTATTTTTTCCGTATTAACTTTTATATAGGTATCGAGTTAAATTTATGATTTGTTAACTATCACGTCTAACTTATCGATATTGTGATCTCTTATTATAACTTAATTATTTTCATGAAACCTTTGAAGACACATAATGGCTTTGCTCTTTTATTTAATTTTAAAAAATCATACTTGTTTTTTAACCTCTTCATACCTTTGTTAAAAATATTTAAATTTAACAATCACACATCCATATTTGTTAGAAGTCAGATACTGGGGTCTTACTGTCTTAACCATAAGTTGAAAACTGATAAAATATAAGCTATTATGACAGCCATAATAGAACATCAAAGCTTATCATTTATTATCTGAAAAATTAAATATAATCCATGAATAGTAATTTCTTATTTTAAATAATGTTAATTCAGTCATTAATTAGCCCTGTTAAACGATCAATAATTTCATATGTATACAAAATACCTACACATAAAATTAGGCCCTTTTAAGTGATTCAATTTAGAATTAAAAGTAAGGTTATTTATTATTTTAATTGTACACACAACACAAGTATATTCACATTTAGTATTCCTGTTTTAATTATCATGAATATTTTAGATTCTGAGCGAAGCGATGAATGTATTGATTTTACAATGATGTGTGTTTTTTTTTTTATTTTTTTTTTTATTTTTTTTTTTATTTTTGTGTCTGTCATCACCTTTTAGGGCAGTAAAACTGCTTCGATTTTCTTCAACAGCAACTTTTCTGATAGGAAAGTGAATCTAGTTGGTACTTTGGGGGGTCAAAAGTAAACATTTCCCAGTAGTTTTCAAAAGCGACGTGAAAAACAAAAGAAAAATTAAGGAAAAACGGGAATTTTTACGCAAAATCGATTTTTGTCAAAATTGATTTTGGTTTTTGGTGTAACTCTAAAGCAAATGACCATAGATGCATGAAATTTTCACTGGTTGTTTATATTTGCATTTTCTATACACGATAAAATTTTGAAAATAATTTGACTTTTTTTGAACGGTTTACGGACATTGTCAGTTTTCAATTTTTTTAGTTTTTTTTTCTATAAATATCAATAAAATTTTATTTGTTGGTTAAAAAAGCTTGAAAATTTAATAGAAGGCTCCTAGTATATTGTTTCAAAGGCATATGAAAAAAATTAAAAATCGTTAGTCACAGTTTTTATTTATAAGCATTTAAAGTTCAAATCTTGACAAAATACGGAAAAATCACGAAAATTAGCAAATTATTTTGAGTTTAAAATTCGTAAAAATTTTTCTTTTGAAATCTAAGGTTTGAAAATGTAATACAAGATTCCTCATAAGTTTGTCTACCTTTGTAAAAAAAAAAATGTCTACTAGAAAGTCAAATTAAATTTTTATGAGCGTTTGAAATTCATATTTTTACAACATTTGATATTCACTCGATTTCTCATGTAACGATTTTCTGTTTTTGTTGTAATTAAAAAACGAATGGCTGTAGACACTTGAAAATTTCACTGAATGTTGATATTAGCATTTTCTAAACACGATAAAATTTTGAAAATAATTTGACTCTTTTTGAGATGTTTACGGACATTGTCAATTTTCAATTTTCTTAGTTTTTTTTTCTATAAATACCAATAAAATTTTATTTATTGGGCGAAAAAGCTTGAAAATTTAATACAAGGCTCCTGATATATTTTTACAATAGCAATTGTAAAATATTTAAAATACATAGGCACAATTTTTTTTAATAAGCATTTAAAATTCGAATTTTGACAAAATTTATCAAAATCTCGAAAATTATTAATCACTGTAATTAAAAATTATAAAATGTTCAGTTTTTATAACTAAGGATTGAAAATTTAAAACAAAGATTCTCATAAATAGTTCATACTGTAACCAAAAAATCTACAAAATACGGTTTGTTGTTGATGTATAACGCATTTAACTACCAAATGCCTAGTGGATATTGAATGTTCTGATATGATTAATTTGGAATTTATTATATAAGTCAATTTTTTTTAAAAATATTTATGTTCATATACCTAGACTGACATACCGCCTCCGCTCAGAATCGTTTTTCTTATACAATGATATTATATCATTGAATTCAAATTTAATACCATCCATTATACAGTGACCCTCTTGTAACCTACTGTACAGCAGAGCGACATCCACTTGCCCACCTTTTTTTTTATTTAACATAGTTAGTAAATTATTATTTTAGTGTTTGTCACATCATCAACAATTATTGATTTGCCCATACCTAATATCTAACATATTATTAGATTAATAATGTTAATTTTAAAGGTCTTAGGTCTAGTACATACTCGTATGAACTAAATTGCAATACCTATTTCATAACACTGTTGTATCTTTTTAAGTAAACAGCAAAAGGGTAAGAACTATGATGGCTATTGTAAATGTATAATTAATTTCATTATTTGTACCATTAATTTAAGTACTTAAGACTAGTATAAAATAAAAGAAAGAAATATAGAGTTAATAACAGTCAACATAACAAGAAAATTTTTCTTATGCATAAATATTAATTAAAAACTAATAATTCAATTCATTTTTGAAAGAAAAAGGTCATAAGTAAGAAGGTACTCTTATATGCACATTTCAAGTTTAATTTATGCGATTGTTACAAGATCAATTTCAGAAATTTATTTTTATGTCTATTTATTATACAGAAACTGATATTTACATTTACATACCAGACATTTAGAGGTTTAATTTTAAACATTTCAAACAGAAGAAACTTGAATATATGAGCTATGCACACAAGCATACGAGCAAAAGCCAACAAATGCCACCCAAAACGTTTAGAAAATAGGAATTGAAATATAAGAATAATAATATTCAAGTCTTATTACATTAAGTAAGACATTTCAAACAAACTTTAAAAATATGTTTGTACAACAAATCTAAAAGAATATAAATTATATAGAATTATTAAAAAAAAAAAAAGATTATCTGAGAATCAAACAAAACACATTTTGAGTGTATTGTTAGTTCACCAGTGGTGCACAGATATTTCCAATGGGAGGGGTTGTAATAAAAAATTATATATAAAAGTACATATTATACTAAAATATTTTTTTTAATTTTAGTCATTTTTATACATTAATATGTATAGTAAAAAAATACCAAGGGGGATGGTTCAAACACCCACAACCTACTCCCAGTTTGTGTACACCACTGTAGTTAACATATAAAAACTAATACACATTTATAAATGCTCATATCTGTATTTTACAAAGTACATTTAAAGTCGATGGGCACCTATTCATATTTGTGCACCCGACTATTGACCCATTACTTTTGAATCTATTTCAGAATATATATTTAAAACTAGATTACATTTATACAAGAACATAAGCCACCACTGATTTTATAAATACATATGATAATTAATGTGAGGAAAATTCTTAAAAATACTTGTAAATAAATAAAAAAGTAATTACAATTATTGTATATGAAAATACTTGAATAGTTAGTAAACTATTAAATATTATTATTTATTACACTCATTATTCCTTTTTTATTTTAATATCTTTGAATAAATTTGAGAATAATTATTTATTTGAGTTAACACCTAATAATATGAAAGATGATATTAGCTTAAATTATAAGAATAGAAATCTTTATTATTTAAGATTTATTTATAATATAAAAAAGAGAAAATACAGTAATGACTTATGAGTAATATTCTTAGAAATATTGGAGCGGCACACAAATATTAGCCATTAGATTCTGAAATACAGTTAAAAATAATTTATTTCTTTCCATATTTTTTTTCCTTGATTGCATAATATTTTCACAAGTATTATTTAAACACTACAGTATCCAACATAGAACCTAAACACTGAACAATGTTTCCAGACATTAGATTATCAACTTTTTCTTCCAAATGCCTCTTAGGATCTTGTTTGCCTACATTTTTAATCGCCAATTGTTCCGGTGTCATTTTATCCTCGTCTTCCAAAGCCTTTAAAAATAACATGCAATACATTTAATAATGAGTAAACTGTTTTCTTTGCAATAAAATAGGTATTTACTTTGTTATAACTCTTAGCTAATTCTAGCATTTCTTTAACTGTAGTTCGGTTGGTATCACAGTGCTTTTCATAATCTTCAAGTGCCATTCCATCCATCCATGATTTCTTGTGTAGATTCAATAACATTTTTTGTTCGAGTTCATTTTTTCTGTAGTTTATTGAAATGGAATAGTAATGACGATTAAGACCATGAATTAAAGCCTAAAATGAAAAATAAGATATAAAACACACATATCATATTATATTGTTTGAAACTTGTTAAGTTCTCAACAATTATTAATAAAAAATAAAAATCAATTTTTACTGACTTGAACTGAAGGTTTTTGTAAATGTCCCAAGTTACTAGTAGTTTGTCTTGGTTCTTGGCCAAGTACCATCATATTGGGGTTGATTAAACGGAAGGCATCAATAACTACCTTTCCTAAATAATATTAAATAACAAACTAAATTAATTTTTTTGTTTTTAATAATTAAAAGAACATTGGTAAATAATTAAAAAGAGTGAATACATACTATATTTGTTAAATTTTAAATAATATATTTTTTTAAACAGAAATTAAATTTTTATGTTCATGGACATTATTGAAAATTGTATATTATCAGTTTGAAAGAGTTTAATAGGATATCGTACAAACATTTGTTGTCTTTGTCTTACCAATGCATAACATACAAAAATATACATCTAGCAGTTCCAATTTTGAGTGAGTAATTAAAATATTATATTCAAATTCAAAATGAGAACTGTAATCAGCGGCGGCAATGAATTTTCATCTATGACGTTCAGACCCATTATCGGACCAATCTCCCACAGATGTTAGCTTTGCCACTCGCAAGGCCAGCACTTTGAAATTAAGCCATACAACTAGTTACAAGTTGGCTGCTGACTACTGTTCTTATATTTAATTGATTATAATATTATGAAACTTTAAGGTAAAAATATTATATGTTTTCTCATTAAATTTTTATAATATTTTAGTTTTCAAATAATTTATAAGTATGTAAAATATAAATATTTAGAAATGGGCATAACTGTCCTAAAAATTTAAATATTGTAAAAAACCTTTGAGATAACACTTATAATGTAACCTACCTATAACGTTTAAAAATAGGTTAATTAGCTCTAATATTAAAAAACTAAAAACTTAACTGCCAAAGGTAAATTATGGTATATTATGAACTTATGAGTTATAATCTATTCCACGAGAGAATTATCACTTTTCGCGCATCACAAATGATTTGATTGGCAAGTAGAGAACCACATGATCACTCTATTGCCGGAAAATTGATGAGAGATGCACAACTAACGAGCATTGGTTGGCGGACTGATTATTCTCTCGTGGAATAGACTATAGAGTATAGTAAGAAATTTGAGTACTGCGTTTTCATAAGGTTAGATGTAATATGATGTAGAGATTTATTTGTATAATGAATAGAGCTTTATATTATAGTTAGTAAATAGTAGGTAAGATGAAACTCATAATCTGTTGGATTAAAAAAATACATAGTTAATTCTAGTATTGAACTAACAGACGATTAAACATTGAATTAATATGACATTAACATTATATTAATGCAATTTAAAAATCAATTATATTATTTTAACAATATATAGGTAAATATAATATAATATTTATTTGTTTTAAGATTTTAACAAATAAATTATTTCAAGTGTACTATACTAGTATATTATTTTTAATTTAGTTGATATACTTTAAACACCATAGCCCAGAAGTATTCAAACTGTACATAAAAGGATCATCTTCGAGCCACAATACCAAAGAGTAAAGAGTAAAAAAAATATAATTATGATGTTGGCAATTAGTGTATAATGATAATAATTTTACTATATAGAACTTAAATCTTATTTTATTCATTTGATGTTCTATTTTAGTTTTCTATACTTAATAGATTTTTTGTCTAATAATTGATACCTATATTGAAAAAAAACACATTTTAATATGTTAGTATGCCCTTCAAAATTTGAAAGTTATCTTAACATTTTAATGAGATGTTGGAAAAACAAATTTGAATTCCTCTTCCATAAACATTCACAAAATATTTTTCATTAAAACTTTAATTATAAGTTAAAGTATACTTCAATTATGGTTGGCATTTCACTAAAATCATTTATACTTTACATATTAAAAAATCATTTATACTTTACATATTAAAAAATCACATAAATATAACTTGAGATTATACCCATAACTTATTTCAGTGGTGTGTGACGTAGGGTACAAGTGTTGCTCAGGCAACACTTTAAATATGGGTGGGTGGGTATTGAGAGAAGAAAAATAGGACATTTTATAGGTCGGTTTAACAATATACAAAGTAATACCTTTGACACTTTGAATGGGGTCAACTACAACGGCAACAGCTCTTTCGGAGAGGGCTTCAAAACTCTGTTGTGTATTAATATCTACACCAGATAACCAACACCCAAACCCTGGATGTGAATGATACCATCCTACAACCATTTCCGGCCTGCCTGTTTGTTTCAACATATCCAACATCTTTGCTTGGAATACTGGGTCTACAGCTTCAACACTTACACCCTGAAATAATTAATTATTAACATCAAGTGAAAAAAATAATAATAGTAGGTACACATTCTTACGGTTCCAGTTTGAGGCATAGCGAATACATCAATAACACGTACAGTGTAATCGTCCACAAATTCACCTAACATCAAGCCCATAACTTCCATAGGAACTCCAGCTCGTCCATGTTTCAACATTTTTAACAAGGCCAATGATGACACATAAACTTGTTCAGCAGTGTCTACAACAGGAGTATCGGCAGCAGGAGCCGACCCTTGTCCCAAGGGTATACCACCGCCCAACCTCAATAGACGATCCATAACTTTTGAACTATCAGCAAAACAAAAGAGAATAAGTTACAAACCAAGGGTTATTGTAAAATTTGAGTGTTTAAATTTTTACAAACTGGATGATATAATAATATAATAATATAATATGACATACCTGTGTTGTTGGTAACTTCTACGTTTCAAAATCGAATTTGTGAGTACTGAGTGGATACTGGACAGTGACTAGTGTAATATGTACATTAATATATTATTGTGTATTTGTGTATTCGAAAAATGATTAAGCGAATTTGAGTTTGACAACAAACTAATCACATAACCTAAAATATTAAGTTTACTATAAAATTGAGGTTAGACCTTAGATATAAAACCATAGATAATAAATCTATTATCTATGCTTAAACCGTGATTAAAGATACTACTTATCACAAACAGTCGTTTGAAGCATAGACCTTATTCTCAGCCACCTTTCACCAAAGAAACTTCCACCACGCCCTGTCTATGTGTACAAGCTAAAGCTATATTGCCATAAAGTCTATTTTATCTGGTTTGAACTTTTGAAGTCAGTTAGAAATAAACGATCAAGAATTATGGATGAACTCACAAATAAATAAAAATAATAAATCGGCAGAAGTTAGAAAAATCTAGGAAAAAAAGCCCCGTACTAAACACATTATTCTTTTTTTTTTTTGATTTGCATGATTACATTTAATTATAATAATCATAATATAATCATTACATTTATTTTATAAATTATTTAAATTATTATATTATATTATTATGCATCTAATTTATTATAGGTATTATGCACTAGGTTGTACATTTATTTGATTAAAAGGTAGTTCTTTAAAAAAAATTTTATTTAGCATCTGACATTAAACAATAACTAATTATATCACAGTTAAAAATCATTCCATAAATAACATTCCTTAACATGCATTTCTCTTATTATAAAATATACAAGTATAGTTGCAATTTGTAATAATTGTCTTTTGTCATTTGTACATAATTAAAAACATTTTAAAAATTATTTAGTAGCATTGATTTCTAATGTTGTGGCTAACTGCTAACCTAAATAGTTTAAAATATTGGGTTTATTATTTTATTAAATATTATTATGATATAAGAGTATATAAAAATTATGTTATATATATGGTTATAAATATATTTCTATAGATGAATAATAATATATTGTTTAAAAATTAACAATTATGAAATGCATACTTTAATAAAAAAGTGTTATGTTTTTTGTTGGTACGGGGCTTTTTTTTCCGAATACCATTTAGAAAGTTGAGTATTAATAATATTTAATAATTAGTATCATAATAAAATTAATAGTTTTCTATGTTTAGTATTAAATAATAAAAGTACAGAATTTAGAATACTGAATAATAATATTATGTAAAACTATTGAAGATGTGCATAGCAATATAAGATGAAATGATATCTGGATATAAGGATGTCGAAACACCATTAGTTTTCTCTCTCTGACCCATGATTAACATGTCAAATATATTATGTTCTCCAGAACCAACCCTGTGTTGTTACTTTTAATATTAGAGTGAATTCACCTATTATCAAACTTTAAGGTAAGAACCTTTGTTGGCTTTTTTACAATATTTTAATTTTTAAATCTTATTGCCCCTTGCACAAACATATTATCTACTATGTCCATTTTAAATTACCTTTGTCCCCCCCCCCTCCTAGAAAAGTCCCATGCGCCAGACCCTCCGTGTCGTCTCCGTCTTACGAATGCGTGACATGACAAATTCTACGTTCTGAATAATCAAGTTAACTCTGTAATGATTAATATTGGAGCGAATTGACTTATTAAAAAATTTACAAGTAAGAATATTATCTAGTGAACCTCTTGGGGTTTTTTCTATGTCATAGTTTTAAAGCAAAATATGATTATTTTAAAAATTGTAAATTGTTTGTACATTTTAAAATACTCAAAACTTGTTTTAAAATTAAAATGTAAAATAACCCTAGTAGGTTCACTAGATAATAGGTGTGGCATCCCCTTAAGGAGTTTTTTATCACTTTCATTATAAAGGCTAATTGAGCAGACCCTATATTATGACAATGAATGTATGAATAGAACAATAACTCAACTATTAAAGTTGTAAACAATTCATTATTATAACATAGCACAGTAACAGTTTTAAAACTATTTCAACATGTTTAAGGTAACAAAATACACCATAATTCATATTTAAAACATCCTCAATGTTTCTGTATATTTAATTATAATTTAGATTCATTTTACATAAGAAATTTATAAAACCTTTTTAAACTTCATTTTTTAAATTAATACAATTCATTCCTACAATTATTAGTGAGCTAACTATAACTAGAAAACACTGTTTTTATATAAATTGCAGATGTTCATAATTAAATACACCTTTATAAATAATAAAAAAAAATTTAACACAAGAAAATAATATTTAACTTTAAAAAAAAAAAACCGGTACAGAAAATATTAGTGTTTTAGCAATATTATTACAAGACTGGTGTATCGAGGTAAATTTGTTTTTTATGTTTAAGAGCATTCAAATTAATTTATCCTTAGTACATATTTTTCTGTCCGAAACATTGTTAACAAATGTTTTTCATTTTTAGTTGAGGTAGAGCAAATACATTTATTAATAATTAAATCATATATAAATATTGAAAAATATAATATTATAATACTAAATTATTGTAATCATTACATTGTATAGTCAACATCCTCTGTGATTTTTCCAGTAGAATCAGATCAGTAGAAAATATATTTTTATTGTGTACTCACGAGCCCCGATTCATTTTTAACAGCCCTTCAATGTTTCCCTTGAGAAGAAGTAATTCACTTTTAGTCTGTTCATCAAATGAAATGTCCATAGAAGCACCAGCTCTAGGCAATATTGAAAGAATCTAAAAAAAAAAAATTTTGAGTCTACAATTTCTATGACAGATATTATGTTGATAGTTTTTGAATAATTGTAATTACATTTCCATTGGCTAACGGTACACTGACTGTGGCCATATCATCCCTAGAAACAGACGAAACCATAAGTGGACTTCCAGTCATTGAAAGTGCAACCTCTCCTTGGTTTGGACGCCGCATCATTGATATTGGTTCATGCATATTTACTTTTGGTGTAACTGTTGCTGAAGTATATACAGGTCGATTAATTGGAGTCTGAAATCAATTTTATTAATAAGATTCAAATGAGTAATTATTTAATAAAAAAAAATTGATGAGAAATCAACCTAAAAATTGCAGCAATAGTCAATCATAACACAAAAAAAGTCTTATAAGTTAAATGATTTTTATACTTAATATGGGTACCTACTACCTACTACCTACTTAAAATCTAGTAATTGTTAAACATAATTTATTTTTTATTAGATATAATAATGAAAAATAAAAAAAACTAGTATGTGATTATTATAAGTTTTGAACCTAGACCAATTGTTTTTTATTTTGAGATTTGAGATGATGTCAAACCAGTTTGTGTTCTATTATACTAAAATGTCCATACAGCAGTTAAAATCTTACGTTACCTTTATTATTATAGTGAATTAACCTAATATGAAACCATTGATTAAATCAATCATTAATCAATGATGAAACTTAAAGGTAAAAACATTATCTATGTTCTATAATTTTGTTTATAATACAGAATTCATTATGTCTTATGTTAATTAATTATTATTTTATGTCGTCAAAATGTTGTGTTATTGAGGTTATATTAACTGATATTTGTAATTACTTTGTGTTACCATGTATTAGATTTTTCAAATGTATGTAAAATATAATATGTCATTTGTGGGCCTTGTGCCCGTTATATAATAAATAATAATAATGATAATAATAATTTTTAAGCGAGCTATATATATACTTACAACTTGATTAAAAACTAAAATATCATGAAAATCCAGCGACACAACAAACCTCTAAATTTCATAATAGGTAAATTCACCCTAATATTAAGGAATAACATAAGATTGGAACTACTCAACATATGACTTGGGATGTCATGCGTTAGAAAAACAGAGACAACAAATACAGGTCCTCTTAAGATGATCATTGCAGATTCAAAGAATATGAAGAAAAAAGTGTATTTAACATTATTTTCTTAAATGAAATTATTCCATTTTATCTTTAAATACTAAACACAACCGAAATTATATTTGGTAATATTAACTTTACAATAATGAAAGAATTAATTCACAATAACACTGAATTATGTCAGGGTAAAATAGAAAGTCAATTTTATCTATTTTCCATTATTATGCTCAAGGGGATCAACCTATCAGGAAACGAGGAATCTTTTCAGTCAGCCAATCCTTGTGTGGGCTGCTTTATAATTATGATTAAAAAAAAAGTAATTTTTTCCTATACAATCAATATAGAAATTATCCTTTTATTTTAATACCTAAAATATATTGATTTAGACTAATTCCCCTTCACTAGTGTACTGTTTAATTTATAATTTACTAGCTGACCCTGCAATGCTTCGCTATTGCAAGATATTTCAGATATTAAATTGCTATTTATTTTCAGGATGTTAAATAATTATTTTTATTTTAGACCACTTTTAGTCACGTCTTCGTGCTAATGTAGCCATATAAATTTAGCGTCCCCACCGCAGTTCTTCACAATGTTTAAAAAAAATTATTTTGTATGTAGTGGTAAATGTATATGTATATTGTATGTAAATTGTGTATGTTCATTTTGTAGGTATAACTATGGATGGAACAAAAGATATGAATTATGCCAGTATTTTGATAATTCAGACTTAAAAAATTTCTTTGTAAACAACGTTATCAACTTTTTCTGGATCGGGGGCAAAAATATACAAATTAAATTTGGATGTCACACGTGACAGGGCGACGTATAGTTGACCGTGAGAAAAACATTGAACGCTTAGGTCAATTCCAGCAACGTTAAGTGTTTGTCCCTGTGCTTTATTTATAGTCATTGCAAATGCTAATTTAACGGGAAATTGAATACGTTTAAACTTAAAAGGTAAATCTGAAGGTATAATTGGTATTCATGGTATTAAAACAATTTTTCCATTACCACAGCCTGTTAATATTATGCACTAAAGTAATAAACTTCTCAATTTTTTGATTTGTAATCTTGTACCATTGCAAAGTGTGGGTGGGCTCAAATTTCTCATTAAAATAATAGGTGCCCCTATTTTTAAAATCAGTGTATGTGGTGGGACTCCATAAGGCGTTAAATAGTTAAGAAATTCAGTTGGGAAATGGACTGCATCCTCTTTTTTTAAAACTGTATCAACTGAATAGTACATATGTAATTGAGCGTCAAACCTAGATAGAATCAAATAATTTAAATTTGTCGACTTGCTCATTTGTTGGTGATAAATTAGCCCTTTCTTGAAACCATTTCAATGATATTTAGAAGATATATTTTGAATGTTCGAGTACACGTTTTGAATCAATTTTGTTATAGTGGGTACTGAATTACAGAAGCTATTAATATTTATTTTATCATTCGTTGCTTGAAATTCGCCTTTGCCTATTAAAAGTAAATCTTTGACAAAATTTATATTATCTTGATCTTTACATAGCACTCTCATATCAGTTTTAAGTTCTAATATTTTTATATAAGGCCATAAGTAGGATCTTTTCAAAGACGCATTGACTTCATCAGCTAATTAATTAAATAACAATCAAAATCGAGAAAAGACGTGTTCTACCGAAAATGATAGAAAAGTATTACTCAGTCCATACAACGAAAATAATATCAGTGTACGGCGATGTTAAAATAAATACGGAAATCTATACCTATATTTGTGGTTGTCGAGTTTGATTGTTATTTATTTTCAGCCAGCGACTATTTCTTACTAAAAAAGTTATAGGTATACAATTTACACATTTATTTTAATTAATAATAACTAATGATTTATTAACTTTATCGGACTAAATTTTTGCCTTAAACCTTCTCTGTGATGTCCTCTTTAATTTAAAAAAAATTGCACGACGATTGAATTGACGTTTATCCCGGACAAAAAAAAGTGACTTCATTTTATATAGTAGTATAGCTATAGATATATGTATAGATTATGTTAAAAACTTATACAAATGAAGAAAAAAAGTATTAAAAATAATCAAATAAATATGCTGCACATGATTGGTAGGAGTATTATGTATGCTGTTAACTTTATATAAATACCTAATTTATATATTATAATTACTTTAAATCTAGATTCTATTGTTTCTGTTAATAGTAGCTTATTATCAACATTACGTGTTGCACTATGGTGTTTTGTTACAATGGCAGAACCATTGGTCTTAGATGTTGATTTAAGCCCTGAAAAAATTAAAGAAATTATAATTAGATATTATAGTCTAAAACTCTAATTCAAATGCCTGAAACTCATCTAAAAGGATTACAGATGTAGAACTCTGGTTTGTACCAACCTATAAACTTTTCTTTTTCACTCCTACTTCTTAGTGTTTGAATTATAGAAGGCTCTATGACCATAGGTAATAGTTTCCATACTCCAAGTTCACAACACAATATATAATTTCTATTATATATAATATAGTATATTTTTTGTTTTATTTAAAGACACTATCCAGTAGTAAAAATACTCTGATTATCAACTTTCTTGGACATATCCGGTTGCTACTTTTCAAAATTGAAAACTTTCAGTAATTTTTAAATTAAAAATTTAATTAATTAATTAAATTCATATAAATCATTCAGAAACGTTCAAATTTATTAGATTTCTAAATAAAATCTATCAATTTTTTGTTAATAATATTTCATAAAGCTTATTATTAAACCAGTGACCATAGTAATGGATAGAGCCAAAATATAATCAAGATAGATTGATATGAAAACTTTGTAGCAATGTCAATCGGAAAATTAAAAATTAAAAACAAATTCCGAAATATGAAGTTATAAATAGGATCTTACCACTTTTTGCTCTAGTCATCCTTTTTACTGTAGCTTTGGTAACTGGCCTTGACGGTCGTTCTAGGTTTCCTTTAGTTCCACTGTTGGATTCTATTGGATACTGTTTAGAAATCTAAAAAAATAAATGATGATGACCTCTGTGTTGTACTCTTTATAGTATAGGAAAAAGTATCTGAATAAAATTCAAAAAGTGGGTTAGATACCTAGATCTAAAATGTATTACATTCTATAATGAAATAGATTTAAGACGAGGCTATACTTGCATGCCTTGTCTCCGTCTTACAAATGCATAACATAAGAAATTGCATGTTCTGAAAAATTCATTTAACTCTATTGTTTAGAGCTGTTAAACATGTTATCAAATTTATAAGTATTATCTAGATAATACTAGTGTCATTACATAGGTTATTTTTTTATATTTAAATTTTAAAGGTGAGAGTTTTAAAATGTACAAACAATTTACTTTTATAAAATGCTCATAACTCGCTTTAAAATTTAAACATGAATAAATAACTTGTCATTGAATAAATAATATTCCTACTTCTATATTTAAGAATAGGTACTCTAAGATTAAACATAACAAAGTTAAATTTCCTATGTTATGGTTGTAAGACTAAAACAAAGCACGTGGGTATGGCGTCCCCTTAATGGATAATGCTATGAAACTCACAAAGTCATAAAGATTACAATGTAGTGAGTCGGCCAAATTCATTTTGGTCATTAAAAATGAATTTTCGATTAAATTTCTTTTGGTATCAAATATGTCAGAAAAATAATCTTCAATATTTTGTTCTGAAAAACGAAAAAACAAGCATAAATTAAATACACAGATTAGATGACAGGCGAAATTGTATTCATATTACTTTCATAATCAAATTCGTTCAAAATTTCTTTCATATTTTTCGATTGGTTGGCCGTCGTTGCATTCACAGCAGTCATGTCGACAGCAGACGAACGATGGACAGTTCTTTTCTTGGTGCGTGGCATTTTAGATGGTAGTTGGACTTGACGCAATAGAAACGGATTACTCGCGTCTAACAGCTAGTCGCCAAAGGACAATTTTATTGCCACACGAAAAGTAGACAAGAACAACGCAAATCGGCAGTCGACGACAGCGTGAAGTGAAATGCGAATATTGCGAATGTAAAACTGTGACGTTCAGCCGTTGAGGTTTAAATGTTTAATCTTTTATCTATGGTAAATTGATAAATGGTAATATGGTTGAGGGAAGGATCAAAGCTAGTGACTGTTTTAAGGTGACACCGTTTAATCTATTCTGTATTTCTGTGTACACACCATTAGTAAAGATACACTAGGCCCGGTTTTTCAATCATATTTTTATTAATCGAATAACAAGAGTTATTCGACAGATAAGAAAAAATAACTAATTACCGGTTTTTCAATGTCAGAATAAGTCTTATTCGATGAATAAATCATGAATAAGTTTTTTTTTTATATAGCTTTTATTTAAAAATCTAGCTCAACAATTATAATACATTAAAATATTAACAAAGCAATATAAAAACAGATAGAATAATCAATAAAAGTAAGCAATGTATAACTAAAAAAAAAAATAATAATAATAATAATAATAGTAAGATTAAAGTATATAAAAAAAACAATCAAATGAAAAAACCAGCCTCCCGAATAAAAGAAATAATAATAATAATGACCTGTTAGGAGTTAGAATTTAGAATGGAGTAGAGATTAAATGAAACATTCAAGGAGATGAGAGAAGTAACCCTCTTGTCCTGACGTTTAATGAAGAGTGAGGGGCAGTCGAAAAGAATATGAAACAAATCGCCGATGGATTCTTCCAAATGCCGAGTGCAAAAGGGAGAATCATTTAAATTTAATTTATAAGCGTGAGAGGGTAATAAACTAATAAATGATGCCTATACGTAGACGATTAAACTGAATAATGGAGGATCTGGGGAGCAAAGCAATACATTTGCGAACAAAGTATTATTAATAATATTGGGTACAATAGATTTAAATCTGGAAGCAAAATTAGCGGGCAGATTATGCCAGTAAACAGACCAAAGGTTAAAAATATGACGTTGTATACGAGATGTAAAGTCTGACCAAGGAATTAGAGAAAAAGATGGACTAATAAAATTTAAGGAAGATTTGGATAAGGAATTTGAGGGCATAAGAAGTATTATGGGTTATGTTAGATCATATTCACCCCCTCTCCCAGCAATCGAAGTGGAATCATCGTGATCTCCTTTTAACATCAGGTGTCGCTGGCTTGCAAGTTGCAGGCAAGTTTCAACTAAAGTCCTTATTTCACTCTAGTTGTCCCATTTTTGATCTTTTTTATTCTCTGTTTTTAACGTGGCGTTACGTTCCCAAAACTCTACCAGTCCTCTCTTTGGTACCTAGCTAACTCTATCTCATCTTTTCATGAATATATTCTAACCAATATTTGACATCATATATATGAGATTGCTTACGAAGCCCTCTTGTATTCCACACAGGTATATCTGGTAAACCGCTTTCCAGGACTTACCTCTTATGAGATCAGGGTTACTTCCACCGTGGTAATCAATAATCATTTTTCGGATTTTATTGAAAATAATTTTGTGGACTTCACGAACAAGTTATTAGGTAATTTTTTGACCAAATAACAAGTCATTCGACGAATAAATGTGTAGTGTATAGCTGTGATAACCAAAAGTTGTATTTTGTTATTATTATAATACCAAACCAGCCCGTACAGTTATTATACCTACTTTACTTTTTTATAAATGAATAATGGATATACTTGGAATATTTTCTGAAGACGATGATCAGGAAATCGTCGAATTTTTAAATTATCAACATCGACAACATTGTATATATACCATACGTATGCGAGTTGATCATAATATGACACTTTGGGATGATCATGATTTTAGGATCAGATTCCGAATTTTGAAGGTGGTCGTTCTTCAAGTTTTAGAAAATATCAACGACCAAATAACTTCATCAATGGATAGGTAAAATGGTTTACTATAACTGCACCCCAAAATATTTAGTGTTTAGAAAATATTGAATTAAAAAATTATAGTACCTATCAAATATTATTTATAAAATCGTTTGTATCAAAACAAAAATATAAAAACTACCTGCATCTATATCAAACTTCAAAATCTTTTACCACACGTATAGTATGTAGGTTTAAAGGAAAAAAATATGTAGTTAAAATATAATTTAGTTTTTATTTTTTTCCGTCAGTCAGCACCCTTTTAAGAAGTAGAAATTTCTCAGATTTTCGAAATTATAATAATTTATGATTGAAAAGAAAAATCTAGTTAATATTTTCAGGAGATCAACATTAAAAATTCCTAGTAGTTTTCGAAAGCGTCAAGAACAAAAAAATTTTTTTAAAAATATGTTAATTATTACCCAAAACCAATTTTTAAAAATAGATTTTATTTTTTTTTGGGTAGAAAAATATTAATTACCATTTCCCCTTGAAATTTTCACTAGATATTTTTATTTGCATTTTCCATACATTGTAACATTTTCGAAATATTTTGACTCTTTTTGGGCTAGTTAATTATAGCCTTGAGAAATTTTTCGAATTTTGGAAATTTGTTTTATAATAATTATTCTCGATAAGAACTTCTAGAAATTAGTTAGAAATTCATGAGGTTTTCTTTTCATAGCTAAGAAATTTCAATAGAAGGTACCCAATAAGTTTTACTACCTCCATGGCTCTATCTAACAGAAAAATTTCAATGGAATGTTACCCTATTTATAGCCATGATATATATTTTTGGTTTTAGAAAATAGTTTTTAAAAAAAACTTAGTTTCAATAACATTGAATTTCTTTTTTTGTCGGAATTCCAAATAAACGATAGATGTGATTTATGATAAATTTAATCCTCGTTGTCTGTAGCCTTATAACTCACCGTTTTCACATTAAACAACTCGTAATAGTTTTTGAAAACTTTGTTTCCAATTACGTTTTCTGTTTTGTAAAATTATGATTTATGATCTAGGTTTTACACACACAAAATAAGGTGCTAACTTATGGAAATCCTATTTTTTTTTAGAAACAATGCAGTGACATCCATTAACAAATTGCTTATAACTTTGAGGTTCTATTTCTATGCAACTGGTAATTTTTTTTTGATCACTTCTGGAGATTATCTTGGGGTTAGTAAAACTACGGCATCGTTGGTTGTACCACAGATCTATTTTCTATGGGTTGTACCACAGATTAAATAAAACTTAAAATTTATTTAATCTGTGGTTGTATGTGATGTCAGTATTGCCACCAATCGTGGTGCAAAGTACAAACCTATTAACTAAATTAACTAAAATTTAAAGGTCTATAGCATTAAATTTTTAATAACATTATCTGTGGTGCAAACAATGATTGACTGACATGTGGCCACACTGTACTTTATCAAGAATTCTCATATGTGGGTCATTAACATTGTTCTTATATATTCTTGTATACATTTTGTAAAATTGACCAACTAAACTATAGTTATCACAAAACAAAATCTACGATATCACGAATATTGTTGTAAATATTGTTGTTGGCGATTCTATTTGGCTACTTATTGTTTTTTACATCGACCTTGCGTAGTTGGTTTAGTCGTTGTTGCCTTCGAGTACTGTATTGCTTTGTAACTTGGCAGTTGGCACAGTAGCCAGTGCGTAACAGCCGACGTAATACGTATTAGTCAGAAATTTGCTGTTAGTCACGACTCACTGACACTTCCTTGTTGTAGCTTGCTCGTGTTGGGTAGTTAATACTATCGAATTTTTTTTTCTGTAATTTTTTTTCAACTCCCTAATTTAAAAATGTTCAAAGTATATAATAAATTAAACCGTAACCAATTGAAAACACTAGAAGAATATAGGACCGTTCAGAAAACTAGAAGGTATGTTGTTTTTTGCTTTTCAGTTTTATTGACATTTGTTGCACAACTGCATGTAAAATGTATCTATAGACTGCCGTTTAAAATGCAGCTTACAAATTAACAATATTTGATAAAAATCGAAATAAAGTTGGTTAAATAAGTAAATACCCAGACATCATTGGTGAACTCACTATTTCTGTCATATATATTAAGTTAAATATTTGGATAATTATCTAACATTCTAACATTCTTAATTACAATATAAGTACAACTTTTGATAGATGAAATTGATTGACCTCTATGTATTGCATATTGAGTTTACTCAACATCGGGCTCAACATTTTACTTGTAAGGTTTAAAATAAAATGCATTTCAGTTAAGTACCAATGTAAATTTAAGATTAATTTAAATCAGTGTTATAACTTATTGCTGTTATATTAATAATTCACAAATATTTTGACCATTTAATTTTTAATATAACAGTTTTATAATATTAACTTAGTAATTAATTAAACATTAATATAATATTTTTATGGAGTTCATTAAAAAATAAATAAATAATCTCATTTAATTACGTAATATTGTCCTTTGTACTCAATATAATATATTATTTATGGTTTGGCTTTGATGTATATACTTTCACTATAAATAGAACAATGCCAATTTAATAATATTGACATACAAATCAGGAAGTGAAGTACAATTATTATATTTATAAAAATAATATTGTTAGGACATACAATATATTCAAAATATTTTCATCAACATTATAAGTTTAATTAAAGCTGAAATTAATTTTTAATTGTTGAAGTTTAAAAATGTTATACCTATTCCATTATATTACCTTATAATTATTGGTTATCAATATAATTTTTTTTTTTTTTTGTTATTCCTACACGTGTTTGTCAATTTTAATATAAAGCATATTTCTATAAACTTAACTAATAAAATAATGCATCAAACACAAATTATCAACAAAAGAGTAGGTTAGATACCTTTGTGATAACCTTTTATTAATTATTATGCCTTATACTTTTTAAAAATATTAATTCAAAATGAATAAAAACTTGTTATGTATTATTTTATACCTAAGAAGTATAATTTATAATTGAATAGCGAAACATAATTATGTAAAGATGGAAATATTTTTTTTTTTTGTACCTACCTAGTTATTTACTTTTGATTAATTTATAACAATGTTAAAATAGACTGTTGTCAACAACTGCTGCACTCTCGACAGAAAAATCCTCAGACTCAAAAAAAGATGTTAAACAATCAAAATCCTTCACAATGAACCTGTTCCGTGGTCAATTACAAACTTCACAAGTTTTCCCATACCCCAACGTATTAAATGATGAACAAACGGAAACATTAACCAGTCTAGTCGACCCTGTGACAAAGTTTTTCAAAGTATTTATCAAATTAAAAAAATTTGTAATAATATATATT